GTGTTTCGGTACACTTTGGTTGGTATACCATCCAATAGATGTATGACATGTGAATTATTTACAATGCAGCCAGCCACATATCATAAAAAGCAGTGCAGTAAGGTGGAGAGTAATTTCACATATCCTATGTCTATTGGATGGTACATTAGCCACGTGGTGTATCCGGAACATATAACAATTTATTCTTTTATAAGGGACGCTATCTGTTGTTAGGTTTTGGCTAAAACATGAATGAGCCTTCTTTCTCTCAAGTTTGCACATGTATGGTAAGTGATGATTCAACTTTGGTTTAGTTTGGTTTAAATTTCAAGCACACACACACGATTTGTAAATTGTATTGGTTTGGTTCATCGAACAAAACTAGTTTTTATTTTATTTCAGTTCAATTCAGGATTACATATTTTTACTATAGAAATCGAACTGCTCGAATTGATTTCGTTTGGCCGAGTTTAATGGTATCTTCAGCCATTCATACACTTTTCACTTGTCACATAACCCATCAGAATACTCAGAAGCCATTTACCCAAAAAAAAGAGAAAAAAAAACAGCAAAACTCATAAACTAGTGTGTCTTATCAAGTCTTTTTTCCCTTTTAAAATTATAATTACCTTTAAGATATAGGGGTTAAAGGCTGTTCAGAAATTTTGATGTCAAATTTCTTTCCCATATTTGTGCAAGTGGCTAGAAAAAAGTAAAACATAGCAAGACTGTTTTTTTTTTCTTTCCGTTTTTTTTGTTACTCCCGCTTTTTTCGCTGATTTACGATTCCCCGCGCTTGTTTTTGCGACAGAGAGTCTAGAGAGATTCATAGCCATTAGGCATTAGGCTTGGCTTGGCTTGGTACCAAAAGAAAAGACTGACTGATGACTCTGGCAGAGAGAGAGAGAGAGAGAGAGAGACAGAGAGGAATTGGCCTTTTGTGCTTTTGTCCAACCCCCTCAGTGAGAAAAAAGCAACAAAGAACAGAAGAAAACAGTGACGTGAGGTACTTGTTATAAGAGCTAGAAGAACCACTCAAAAACCCCACATCTCTCTCTCTTTCCCTTTCTCACCTCTCTTTCTTCTTCCTCTCTCTCTCAATTCACTTTTGGTTCTCTTCTTCACACCAGAGTAGCAGCAACAACAGCATGGACAACCAGCGCAGCAGCCCTCTTCTTAGCAGCTGGGCATACTACTGCCAAGGAAAGGTAAAAAAACAAGCAATTTTCTTAATTTTGTCAGCTTCAGAGGGTTTTTGTAAATTGTAACTACTTGTTTACTTTTGTCCTTCAAATTGCACAATGGGGTTTATCTTCTCTTCAATTTGAGACCCAACTTTCAATTTTATGGGTTTAGTTGGGATTTTATTTGCAAATTTAGGGGTAAAAAGTTACATGGTATTTGTGTATTGACTCTGTTTGGATCATACAGAGCATGGAAGAGTTGAGGCATACCCTTTTGTACACAACTGTGGAGCTGGAACAAACAAGGGTTGCAGTGCAGGAGGAGCTAAGAAAGAGAGATGATCAATTGTCTCATCTCAAAGATCTGCTTAACAAAGCTATCAGAGAAAGAGATGAAGCACAAGACAAATGCCAAAGACTTCTCCTTGAGAAGCTCCTTCTCCAACAGCAGCAGCAGCAACAACAACTCCAACTCCAACTCCAACAACAGCAGCAGCAGCAAACAGCTCCTCTGTCTGGAATTTCAAGCATTGAAGATGAACCCAGAAGGGGAATTGACTCCAACAATGGCTTTTCTTCCTCAGATTGTGAAGAAAGCATTGTCTCCTCTCCAGTTCTTGACCCAATTCAACCAACCCAGTTGCCAGCAGGACCATCTGTGCCACACCAAACAGTGGAGCTAGTGCCTGAGAAGCCATTGCCTGAAAAAGGCAAGCTTTTGCAGGCAGTCATGAAAGCTGGTCCACTGCTTAATACCCTTCTCCTGGCTGGACCACTGCCTCAATGGAGACACCCACCACCACCACTTGAGTCCTTTGAAATCCCCCCTGTGACCATTCCTTCACCACAACCTCCATTGCCCACACAGCTCATCCACCAAGACTCCTCCTTGATTAACATTAATGGCTGCAACACCAACTGTGGCATAGTCAACAGGAAAAGAGCCCCCTGTGAGGGCTCTGACTCTCCATCAGAGACCAAGTTCCAAAGGGTTGTTCTTCACTGACTGCAGCTTTTTTACAGTTTGATATTTATATAATTATAATTGAATACAACTAAAAGGTTAGTGAGGATGAGAAAAAAACCATGAATTTCAAGTGGGTATGTGACTGATCTAGCATTTGTACAGAGGATTGTTCTAGAGAAAAGAGGCAGCTATTTTCCAGATTAACTCAGGGAGAAACCAGTAAAAGAGTAAGAGAGCTTTGTTTTGTGGGGATTTTAATTTGTCTCTTTTCTTTTTGGGCCTTTCACATTTTAGTTTTGCTCCATGAATGTGAAATCGGACCTGATTTTTCCAAATTTGTTGTTGGGATGTAAAATGTAACTTTGATACTAGTTCAGTAAGTTCATTCTGTTTGTTTGTGTGTGTGTTGTGTGAGGTTGAGGAGAGAGAAGCATAGAGAGAGAGGGAGATCACATCAAAACATTAAGATTATAGGTGTGGAGTTGTTGAGGTTAGAAGATGGGTGTGGCCAACAACCAGAAAGGTTAAGAGCCTTGCTTGTCGGGTTGAGTGGAACCCAAAAATCAGAATCAGGATCTGCTACTGGTGTGATGTATGATTATAAATCTATAAATATTTTGAGGGAAGCATGATTGTTTTCTAGTCCAATCCCCCCCCATGTTTCTCAACATCAATTTTTCCCTCCCCCCTTACTTTAATTCTTAATTCTAATTAACAAAACCCCTCTTCTTTTCTAATCTGCCCCCACTTACTTGTTTATACCTTTATCTCTCAAAAGTGGAGCAAATTATTGCAGGCTATCCAACTTGCCAATAGCATTTCATTACTGCAAAACATACTCAGTTGACTTTGGAGTTACTAAATTCATTGGCAATGAGCAATGAGGGTGAAAAAAATAACCCCATTTTACTGTTCCAATCCCAAGTGAAAATTCAGAACCAACACCAAGGTTGAAGTAAATATTCAGAGTGAGATTTAAAAAAAATTAAATAAAATAAAAAAACAAAAAAAAACCAAGTGCAATCTTCCTTCAGTTATGCCACCATCAAATATCATTAGGTGAATTTAGTCATTTTGGTACATAGAAGTCGTTGAGCAATTTTGGTTCTATGCAGCTCATACAGTTACAGTCCTTGTTTCTTTTAGGTCCACAAGTGACAAGACACACTATAATAGATTTTCACCAAGAAAAAAACAGGTTAACCAGAAAACTGTACATGCACATGCAGACATGTGCATGGTTAAAAAGCTTCCAAAGTTCTATTCTACAATTGCCCGAGCCCATTCATGGAAATAAGAGTGATTCTAATTTTCAGTAAAATATGGTTATTTTAAAAATGATTATATATTTCGCCAACGAGATCTAGTCTAGTGGAAAATGGTATTGACTTGTAGACTAGTGGTCTCAGGGTCGAACTTCTATTACACCATGGTAGTACGTGTGTGTGTGTTAATCCCTCTCCCCTAACTACAGCTTATACTTAAAAAATTGATTATATTTCAATTAGTTTAGTTTAAGTGCTTATACATTATAGTTTTATTTAAATTATGAGTTCTTTCTTTTGGCCGGTGAGCTATGAGTTCAAATATACAATTTGTACCAACATAGAATATCGAATCAAAACTCTAACATATTTGTAGTTGTGGTTTGCAACTACAACAAGAAAATTCCTCATAAGCCATAATGATTGTTATTTTATGGTCCATCTTTCGAGTCATCAGTGATGTGACCTATATTTGATAACGAAAGAGTTCTTTCAAGTGCAATTGATAGCAATAGGTTGCCCCTCAAAAATTTTGATAACACTTATGTTGAGTCTCATTTCCAACTAACAAAAGTTGGCAAGGTTGGCAAGTAGTGTTCCAGCATCGTGAAGGTTTTTAAGTGGTAGCTAGTATAGCAAGTTTTGTAACAACATTTATCCATGTGTCTGAACATTCGAATGGACGTTGATCCATTAATAAGTCTGGCGTACATATCTTGACAATTGGCCAAAGACTTAATGGTGTCGGAAGCAAAGCTCTATCCTATAAGGGCTCGTTTGGTGCATAGTATTGGATTAGATAGGATAACTCCTTATATTTAAAGCATGTTTAAAGAAGAAATGAAATTTTTTTGACCAATTTGAAGGTAGAAGATGAAAACTTGTCACAGCTAATCCCCACAAAAATGGTAGGATAACAAACACCAGCTTATAACTTATAACTTCTAATCCCCAAAATGGAAAATCATTCACCTCTACCTTTATTTTCTCCTTCAACATATCTCAGATTTAGTGGTTTATCCAATCCAATCTAATCTAATCCATTCCTAGGCACCAAACCAACCCTAGAAGTAATTGAACATAGACAAGGAAATTGAAACTTTCAAGTGTAGAACTGGTGGATAACCCACGTGAGATTTACGGAGGCAAATATGAAACCCATAACTAGTTAGAATATTTAGGCCAAAAAATCCAAACCCAATAGCGGTGGCTACTTGATTTATTACTTGTTCAAGACGGCAGAGGCTTAAGGAATGGAAAGATTCAATGGTTCGATTGTGACCCACTTGACCAACAGCTCTTCGTTCAAAGGATTAAGACAAGACCTCCTCCCATCCTTTCAAATCTGGAAACGTCTTGTCTCTTTGTCATCATTAGAAATAGACTTCAACACCATTTTCTCTACATTATACCTATGCGGTAGGGGTTGAAGGTTGAAGGTTGATGCAGCCATGCAAGTAACACGGAGGAGTTGTATTATTAGGCGCAAGGGCATGAAAAAGATGTAACATGTAAATAAGACAACTGTATTTATGCAAAATTATGAAATGCAGACAAAATGTTTACTGTCAATATGTTAAAGAGTAGAAAGGATGACTCAGTAAGTTAATGTCAATATGTTTAGCTGTGGTGAAAATTCTCTCATCTTGTTGTTATCAACAGAATCACTGGCATTCAATTGAGAAATGTCACAAATTATAAAAAAACAAGATTAGTGTGTACCTTAAAACATATAATATTCCTAAGCTGTGCTCATTAGAATTGCTAAGCCCATGACCCTTGGTTCAAGTGGTCAAGGGTACAGGATGAAACATTACCACTGATAATCTCAATGTTTGACTCCTCTGCGTAGCTTCGGCCCTCTGGCACTATATTATTAGCGAACACGCAAGGATGGCAACTGGGCCCTCATGCACTGGTTAAACCCTAATAGGCTTAAACTTATAAACATCACATTCAGATATCTACTCGCATGGGCTGTACCAACAAGACTGCTGGTCTTTGCACATCAGACATCTCCAGAAATGAGTGAAATATGGCTCAACTTTGCTCCTTAATCATCTTCGTTGTCATCTTGATTGTTTGAACGAGTGTTAGCTTGGGCAGAATACATCTCAGCAACCTGAACTTTCAAAGTAGTGTAAGAGAATGCATATTCATATGTATAATATTGAATCAAAATGATTACATAACCAGAGTTATCTTCACCTGCGCAGATGATGAGGCTTGCTCTGGGGGTTTATCTTCCCGAACACGAACAAGACGTGGAAATCGAAGAGAAATACCCTAATCACATGTATACATGGAATTAGAGGAAGAAAACACATCATCTAATTTGCATTCCACAAAGTGATAGCAAATAGAATTATACAATGAGAAGTACAATAAAATAAAATCCAGTGAACCTTATTAGGATCTACTATGCCAACTGCGGCACGATGAACAGGGCTAATAGTCAAGTCCGCAGCTTTCACTTCCCAAACCTGGGAGAAATTACACCATAGGCAATATGAGAAGATGCTAAATCCAACAAGTCTACCCCTTTAAAACAAAAGTTTAGATAAACCCATGTAATTTTCCTCAATTGCATTTTTTGACAACCAAAAACAGAAAACTAGAAGTAACAAATTTCATTAGCCTTCTAACTTCCTAATCCAGAAACTTCCCATCAATAGAGATTGAAGGGGAAAAAGAACTAAACCTGACAGAGCTATATAAGACCTATCAAAATTACGGTGCAACAAATTTAATTATATTTTAAAAATAAAAGTAAACTTTCCCTGGTAACACCAAATGCTCAGGAATTGAGTTCTGGCAAAACAGTTGCTAATTTGCTCAGTATATCACAGCATATTCTACCTGAATTATTAAGAAGAAAAGGGGGAGAAATGTCCACATGCATCTGTAAAGGTGAACAATATATTCTAATACAGCAAGAAAACACCACAAAATTTAATCTCGCATCTTTTTGAATCTTAAAAGGAAAAATGACAATCACGGTAAATCGAACAAATTGGTTCACATTTCACCTTTTTAACATTTTTGTCCAAGATGAAGAATTCACTATTTTCCAAATGAAGATATGTCAACGTGCAAAGATACAAAGAATGTTTATGACTGCTGAGCCAACTTATTTCTCATTCATGCAAGATTTAAGTTCTCAACTGTTGCATATAAAAGTTTACTTTTACAAGCATGCACCAGAAATGCTCTGAACTGTACAATGCTTAAAATTGCTGCTCCTCACACCATCTCTCCTGCTTATGCTGTTGCTCCTTTCCACAAATTTGTATTTTACCACTTTGATAGCCTCCTTAAATTGCTTGCCCAAATAAGTTTAAAATTATAGTGGACCTATCTCAACCCTTGGAAAAACTTTTAAAAAACTAATATCCATTAGGCAAATAATTTGAGAATAGCATCATTCCTGAAGTGAATTTTGATAAACGTTTACTTGTATCAAAGAAATATCCTGTTAGGTCTATTATTTTCTCAACAGGTTCTATCTAGACAGCTTAAGAATCCAAACTAATTGGAGGAATCAACTAAACAATCCAGGAAGTGCTTACCTGAACAATAATGTAAAACTTCTTTGGGATTAGTTACATTTTACACTTTGGGGATTTTTTTTCTTTGTAAGCAAAGCAAGCAATCAAGGGTCAAAAAACTTCTAATCTCAATGTGGAAAAAAGAATTGGGTAACAAAAACTAAGCATGGAGGTAGTTCTATCAAAAAAAGTTTATGCACAGCAAACACAAAAGGCGATGGTTATTACCTCAGAGGCATCAAACCATACATCAGGATTCATTGTCTCTGCATAACGATAGTATGACTGCAATTGACAAGAATGTAAAAATTAGCAAGAGAATCCACAGAACCAAATACATAAACAGTCTTTTGTGGCAACATCTAAGTGGAAGAAAAAAACAGACCTTAGGTTTGGGTATCACTTTAGTACGGAGACTGGCAGAACGTTCTTCAAGCATTGCTTCAGAGAATCCAGTGCCTGTAATGCATCAAGATATTAGGCAGACTGATCAGTAATAGGTAAAGGGGCTTGGAAATCATAGTAAAGGCTGCCAACACATGCGTAAACAAATTGCACTTACCTATTTTACAAATGCTTTGAAACTCTTCATTGTTGCTATCATAACAAGCAAGGAGGAAAGCACCGTAGACACCTAAGGAAGACCAGATCATCATTATCACCTCCCCCTTGTCTTTCAATTTATGAATAAGATGGTGACAGTTTGAGGAAGAAGATAGCTGGGCCAACAAGATGAGGAGAAAAATGACAGATGCAAATGACCGGAAAACTTTTAAGGGCTTCCTTATTACTTGGAAGAGAAAGAGGTGAGTTTTTTTATATTAAATTCCACAGAAACAAACATTTGACTGGAAAGTGCCCATTCATTCAACTGAAAATGATGTTTCATTACAGTTACCTGTACGTTTCCCCCGGCCATGGAAAGCAGCAATAGGTACCAAGTCTAGTGAGTCCCCAATACTGTATGTCACAGCAACCCAATAAACAGAAATGAACAAAGCTTTATGAGGATTACTAAAATGGAAAATACTTGACATATCACTTACCTCTCCATGTAATCTTTCTTCAATTTCAGCCAGTTAAGTGACCGCTTTGAAGGCTCATAAGTAGCATCTTTGTTCAATGTTTTGATAATTAAACCCTCAGAACTGCAAGCCAGGATGAAGGAATAACATAAAAAGTAATGGTTTAATGAGGATAACTTTTACAGATAAAAAATTAACTGGGAAGTATGTGACAGGCCAAACTGCAAATGAACTAAAAACAAATAAATGCTAAAGGGATCTCTTCAAGAGTATATTACTATTATTATTTGCAACATTCATGAAATGTATTTGTGCAAAATTTGTGACCCTGATGTAATACAAATGTATCATGAACACGTTTAGGAAATTTAAACTACTCTATCTAAGGATCATATCCACTTGTCCCTTGAAAAATCAAAAGCACGAAGTGAATACCTTGAATCAACAGCAGCATCAAGAAACTTTTGTATTTCTTCAATATCATTTGATGTTATTGCTGTGGCAAACTGAAAAAATCCAGCTTCTTCCACAAAAGAGTCATAAAGACTCTGCACAAGACACACAACCACATGTAAGAATATATTAGTACTTTCTCGTTAAATAACAGAACAAGAATGAACAATGGTCGGAAGACATTAGAAATCCAGAAATTTATTTGTATAAATGATACCTACAACAGTAATAATGGTAGCACCTAAATTGAAAAGTTCAGTCAACAGGGCATCCTTCACATAATATCACTAAGATCAATATGAGTCAAGGATACTATCCAGCATAGATAGACACCCTTTTTCCGTCTTTTCTTGCACTTTGTTGTTCACTTTCATTAAAGTTTAATTTTTCCTATAAAAAAATAATACTTTTAACGCATCATCCTTTAAGACTAATAAACTACCAGAAAAAAGGAATACAAGTAACGGTACAGCTGGCACTTTAAACTTTTTGCACTCCCCATTCTAGACACATGAAACTAATACATGGAAATTGAAGTTGTTGAAGTAAAGATCCAATAGCTCAACTCGTGAATAATACTACTGCCATTACTTTGCTACATGCACAAAAAACTTCTAAAATAAAAACTTTCCCTAGTATTTGGCAAGCATTAATTAACTTCTAGAATAATCCTTTTCAGCAGTATTTATTCCTATAGGAAATTAGGGATGCCATTGCATGCCACACTACTCACATTGGCTAGATACCAATCCAAACATTTCCCTGCTGCAAAAATTCAGGGAACCTATCAATATTTTGCCATCCACCGTGGACATAAAGTAATTTCAAACTTAAGCGTGAATGGGCATGACGAAAATAGACAAACCAATTACCTCCATGCATCCTGACAATTCAAGAAAAGCAAAAAAAAAGAAAGTATAATTTCGACATCAAGTTTCACTCCACCTACAGTAAATAATCAGAAAGATATGTTGCTCCAACTTGGCATTATAAATCATGAATTTCTAGAGAAGCACAATTACTCCCATCCAGAAGAAAAATATCAGTAAATTCTAAAATCTAATTGAGAAGAAAGAAAAAGAGCGTACCTCTCTACGAACTTTCAGTTGTTCTTGAATTAGTGGTTGTCCATTAAGATACAACATGTCAAAAGCAAATATGCAGACATCGACCTTAATATCACTCATTGCCACATTTTTACGAGCTCTAGTGCTGAGTACCTGCCATGATAGTTTCTCGTAAAGAAATTTTCTATCTTAACTCAACATCATCAGTAGTAAATACTATACCTGGTGTTTAAAAAATAAATAAATAAATATATTTACAAACAAAATAAAATATATAAAAAAGTACTCACACAGAGTCACATATGCATACTATTCAAAGAAGTAGGGGGGGCAAGAGTCAAACTTTTGGTAGGTATGAGGGTAACTGCTCTTCCAAAATTTTATGATTTATATTATTATATTAGAAAATGCAATAATATAAATCATACAAATGTTTGAGAGCTTTGTGAGACAAGTATAAATCTGGAGTGGAATGTGAAAATAATTTACCTGGAAAGGAAGAATTTTCTGTTTTACACGGTCATAAGCAACCAATTCACAATCCAGAACAAATGATGTTACAGATGACTTCTTTAACCTGAAAGCTGACAGAACGCATTAGCAACTGAGAAGTAAGCACAGTTGGCGTTTTGGATAACATGAAGCTGCAACCGTAGAGCTCTTTCATGATAAACACTTTTCACAAGTTAACTAGTCAGATACAGATTGGAAAATTTCAAACCACAGATCGCCAGGCATTCATTTTATTACACTAACAGATGCCTTGACACCCATTTAGCAAGTCTTATTTTTCAGAAATATAAAATATTTAACTTTATTCAGTGCATTATGTATTATATGACATTAGTTACATTAATAGTGACATAGTAATAGAACACAGATACCAAAAGCAGTTTGAAAATTTAATCAGTAACCAACCAACTCTTTTACACATCACTTTTTGTTGGTACACCAAGAATTGCACAACTGATGGAATTATATGGAGATGTTAAAATATGGAACTTTTATTCTAGAGCACCACACTCCCTCAGATATTCTCGCACCTAAATTCAATATGAAATACCATATACCCAAAGATAGAAGCCTACCTCGACACTGCAACAACAACATCAGGGAACTTTCCAGTGTTTCGTTCAGCATTTCGACTGTATATCTCAACAGAACCATCCTCCATGTAATGTATCTGTAAGGGATGAGCATGTTACGGCACATAATATATCACAGGCAGAACAAAATTACATGTTGGATTTCAACTAGATGGTATAACCTGGGCACGTTCTCCATCATACTTGTATTCACAGGTGTATTCTGTATCCTGAAACTTCTGTACAATCTCAGATACACCTTTAGTTGGCTTTGCTAGCATAGGTCCAACTGGGACACCCAAAGTAAAGCTACATGTCTTCGGAAGATTCCACACACCACCACTTAAAAGGGCAGGGATGATTTTATCGTAATCAGGAAGTAGAGAGTACACTTGCTTAACAATCTTTGCAGCCTGATCAATCAAAATTGTAAAGAACTTATGACGAGAAAAACAAAAACCCACCAACACAAATTCAGCTCAGCTTTTATATATTCTCACAAATATCAAGAATAATGGTATAATAGCCAAAGGTCTTTGACACAAAAGATTCTGAACTCATAGTGCACTGCTAATTCAGTTTTAGATAAAAAAAATTCAGTATCCAGAAAATCTGATGGCAGGAGGATTCAGTATAAGTTATAACTCTATCATTTGACCTGACGAACCTAAACACACCTCATCTATAGGACTCTGAATATGAGAAGGTGGTGTCGAATGTTTTTCAGTATGCACTGCAGCTTGTCCCAATGCAGCTAAGAGAGTCTGCTCTGCCAACCCAATTCGCAGCTTTGTCTACAAGAGAAAGCCACTTAAACCTTACAATAGGCTAAAAGGAGTTAACAACTGAAATCTAGTATATGATCAAACTGCAACCTGAAGCAAACGGATCAGATATTGAGGTTCACAATCAGTGGCAGCAACAAGAAGTGCCTTGATATGGTTCTTTTTCTTCTCCTGACTATCCTTCCCAGATTCCTATTAAATTTCAAAAGCAAGGGAAAGTGAATTACAAAATCAGTATCGTAGAATACACAAAATTCAATCCCTCCACAAACTCTTCATATTTCCTGCCCCACCAGTAAATTTAGTGTAAAATGACCTAAGAGAAAACAGTTCACCAGCTAATTACATTACATAGAGTATAATCTAATCACCTACAAAAGTAAAAAGAAACTCTCATTCATAAACTAAATGACGAAAAATATGTTATTGTACCTACCAAAACCCCCCACCCCCTTATAGCTTCCATAAGGCATAATTTGAAATAAAAATAAAACAAAAAATACAGGCCTTCTAGAAAGAAAAAACTGCTTCCAAAGCAAAAGTAGTTTGGCAAGGAAAGAAACAGACAAACATGGGTGTCGAGGCCATGGAGGCAATTAATAAGCTATACTTATGAAGGACTTTGATCACCACAAAATTTGACACTTCCACATTGTTTCGCAATTGTGATAACTTCCCAACAGAATGCATATATAAAATGTAGATATAAAGTCCTAAGAATTATTGCATGGAGTGGTAAAAGGTTAGAGTACTGGACCCAAAAACAAAAAAATCAATGGAGGAAACAAAATTGTACTTACCAAGTCCAGTTTCCAGTAAGACAAAAAAAAAAAGCATCCAAATCAATGTATCAATGTATTAAAATTTCGGATTTTAAGTTTGGAAATATGAAGATCACCTTAGCAAGTTGACGAAATGTACTGAAAACCTTGGTGACAGTTAACGAATCAGGCTTGCGCATCATAGATTGAGATGAACGGCTTGCTTTTGCAACAAGACCCAAATCTCCCAATTCCTATCAATGTGAACCCCATTTATCATTAGAGGAAAGAAAAAGGAAATGCAGTCATAAACAAAAAGTTAAACACTGTTGAATAACAAATCCTACATAAATCAGACAAGTTCCAGGAAGATTTGAAAGAAAGAATGCATGTGATGGGACATCAACTAAAATATAGCACTTGAACCATCATAGAACAAAGGACTTACACATCCTCAAAAAAATTCAATGCAACCTCACTCGATAAAGAATGAAATAAATCAACAAAGTCGAGCAGAGCTTTATTAACTTTCTTGTTATTTCATCCTCCTACATTATATGATGGACTATATTGTGCATAAACAACAACCACATTAATGATTGATCACGCAAAACTCGATACATACTCAATAAAAAACGCACAAAACCCACATGGAAAATACCTTGTATTGTTTCTTAACATGTGCTTCAGTCCTCCCACAAGCCTCTGCAAGTGCCTTGATAATCGAAGCATCCCCAATTCCAAGCTCCAATCCCTCATGCGCCGGAGCAATCCGATTGGCGGCCAGATAAACCACGGGCACCAAATCCTCAGGCGTGGTGTGCATTACAGTCCTCAACATGTTACACACTATATCCGTGATCACAATCCGACCCGTCTCGTTCGCAATCAAATCAAAAGCCAAACAAACAAACGCAAACGGAACCCTCTCGCCCTCGCCCCAATTCGCCATCAATTTCGGGTCAAATTCACCGGCTTTCTTCTTCAACAGAGCGATTCGGTTCTTCAATTCCGCCGTCCGCTCCTGAGCACCTGCCGCCGCGCACACTTTTTTCGCGGGGGGAACCACCTGGCCGCCATTACTAGAACTTTCTAGAGCTTCTTTGACTTCCTTGGATTCTGGGGCTTGGGTTGGACTGCCATTTTCGGGTTTCAATAGCAATTGGGGGTTTTCAATAGGGTTAGGTTCTAGGGTTTTTCGCTTCTTGGGGGGTGAAGCTTGGGGCTTTTTCTTGGCTGCGGCGGCGCGAGCGCCGGACATAAGAGCGTCGAAGGCGGAGGGGCGAGAGGACATGGCGCGAAGATTAGGGTTTTTCGGGGAGAGGGAAATGAGGGTGAGAGAGAGAGAAGAGGGTTTGGAGCGGAAGACAGAAATGGAGGTGCTGAGATGGTGGAGAGAGCGTGGGCGTAGACAATAGCATGAACACAGTGATCGGGAGAGCATCAAATGGAGAAGAATTGGGGGAAAATAGTGGGTGTTCTGGACAAAGGCCTGACCTGAGAGAGTGAGACTGAATATAGAAATGGCGGGAAGGATTAAGGTGCTTGTTTAACTATAAGATTCAAGAACAAGAGTTTTCTTTTTCTTTTTTCTTTTAAATAATTATTTTGTCTAAGCATAAGAACAAGATGTTTTGTTTACAGCTGCTTTTTATTAGGTTTATCTACAAACCTTGTCACACGAGATGCTTTATAGGATTAACTACACTTTAGTCCCTGGAGGTTTAGTGTCAATATCGAAATGGGCCCTAAGGTTTCAATTCAATCAATTTCATACCCGACATTTCAAAGCATTACCAATTTACACCCGCCGTTACATTGACCGTCAAAATCAAACGTTAAATACTGACGTGGCAGTCGTGGGACCCACCTCATAACCAAATAGCAATTAGAAAGATACCAATATGGGACCCACCCACTAACCAATATCAAAATTTAATTTTATATAAAATAATAAAATAAAATAAAAAAAACTTTAAAAAAACCCTAAGAGTTGCAAACCCTGACCAGAATTGGAGAACAGTTTTACCTTCTGCATTTCCGCTTTGGAAACAAAAGCATGAGCCACATTCTCCAAGCTATCTTTCAGAACTTTAGTGATCGCAACTGTGATCGCCTCCGCCTGCTTTGTCGGCACGCCTTTGGCCTCCAAACCCCTAACCAGAGCCAATGTGTCCACGAGAAACGCGCGATTCCCATTCAGTTTAACCAGTCCCAAAATCTCCCACTCGTCAAAGAAGGTGAGTAGAGGTTTCGTCGGAAGCTGGCGAAGAGAAACGCGAAATTGGCACCGGTTTGAAGCACACGCTTGCAGAGCGCCATGTATTTGTTTTCGATTTACATAGAAAAATGTTTTGTTTGGGTAAAGTATTTGAAGTGAGAGAGGCGGCGAAAAAATGTGGTTGTATGGGTGGCATAACCAAATCACCAAAACACACAACACACTCAACCATCAAAACAAAACAAAATGACAGTAACCAAATCCTTTTTTTAAAAAAAAAATTTTAAAAAAAATCTGCATCTATCCATGGTGGGTTTGCATCTCTCCATCCTCTCCATCCTAGCTCTTTTTGCATCTATACATGTCTCCCATTTCCTCCACTGCCCTCCAACATTAATGGGTCAGTTCGATACTAGCTGTGGGAGAGATTGTGGGTTTTTTTGCCCTGTCCATGGTGGACATTTGGGTTGAGCTTGTTTTTAGTGGGAATTATATGGTTATGGAGATGGAGAAAGAGTGTTGGAGATGGAGAGAATGGAAGCCAACGAAGTTGAGATTGAAGAGAAGGGGCTGCAACTCTTAGGTTTTTTTTAAAAGTTATTTTATTTTATTTTATTATTTTATATAAAATTAATTTTTGATATTGGTTAGCGGGTGGGTCCTATATTGGTCTCTTTCTAACTGCTGTTTGGTTATGAGGTGGGTCCCACGACTGCCACGTCAGCATTTAACGTCTGACTTTGACGGTCAAGGTAACGGCGGGTGTAAATTGGTAATACTTTGAAATGTCAGGTATGAAATTGATTGAATTGAAACCTTAGGGCCCATTTCAATATTGACACTAAACCTCCAGGGACTAAAGTGTAGTTAATCCTTAAGTTTAACTTATAAAAAAAGTTTTATTCAATTTTTTATATAGGGTTAATGACCTAAATGGTCCCCAAACTATTGCCCCAGTATCATTTTGGTCCACCAACTAAAATTTTCAATTCCAACGTCCTTAAACTTTTTATTTTGTACCAAGATGGTCCATCTGTTACAGATTCCGTGACTTCTGATCACGCGATGGCCACGTGACTGAGTTTTGAAGGGTATATGCGACTTTTTGAGAAGCTCTATCGTTCAGAACCAAAATACCTCCACTTTGCTCAGTGTTTCTCTCATTTCCCGCGATTACCATCGACTGAAAGGGATTCTAATGCGAGTTCCAGAATTGGTCAATGCTGTAGTAGTGTGCGAGTCGTTGAATTGGTGAAGTTAGTGTGTAATTTCAGTGTTAGTTTTGGAGTTTGAATTTGGGAGTTTGGGTTAGGGTTTGATTTTGGGGATTTTGGAGATTTCAGACCTCTTCTGCTATTCTAGCAAATCGAACCACAGACCAATTTCAGACCTCATTAAGCAATTACAAATGGAAAAGAACAACTTTTGCAACCCAAATAATAACTTACCCAATTTTTATCACAAGCATAGAACCTTCTTCCTGGGTTCAAATCTATCCACAAAGTTCGACAAATTATCTTTATCCCACAAGCGTAGTACCGACTCGTCCCACTTGAGGTCGTTGAAATCTCTAACATTGAAATCTCCAACATTGCAAACCTAGGGTTCTAATTTGGGGGTTTTGGTGGAGCTTGTAACAGAAATGGGAGGGAATACATTCCTACGGATGCTTGTTCGTTTTACAGGAGGATACTCACCTAAAAATACGGTTTTATCCCTCGATTTCACAGAATAATAAACAGACTTTGACGGATGGACCATCTTGGTACAAAATAAAAAGTTTAAGGACGTTTGAATTGAAAATTTTAGTTGGTGGACCAAAATGATACTGAGGCAATAGTTTGGGAACCATTTAGGTCATTAACTGTTGGCCACCCGAAGGTGTATGTTTTAAATTTATAAAACTCGCAAGCGCACGAATCGTTTGTAAAATAAGTGTGTGTAAGTGCGAGGTCGTACCCACAGGGAGTGTGTGAAAAAGATGGAAAACAAACCCAACCCAAGTTAATTCAAAGTGGAAAAAGAAAATGAAATAAAGCAAAGAATTGAAAATGCAAAGAAACTAAAATAGGGGAAAAACTAAGGTTTTAGATTCCATACCATTATTCCATAAACTCTAACAATTCCCACGGAGTAGCAATCAAGAAATCAATCTACTACTTTCTCAAGATATATCAATTAAGCATGCATTTTTATGAATCTTATGTAAATTCCC